CGGGCGTTTGTCGGATATTATCAATTATACTTGTTCCCAGCCTAGACCTAGGCCTTCTATTTTTATTATTTTTTTAATTTTCAGCGCTTTTCCACATGAAAAGACTGGGACTATTTGCAACTTAACAGCGAATTTAAATCGATACAGGTAAAATAAACTCATTTATAGTATAAACGTACTATTTTTATTTGTATACACCCCTAGAAAATCACAAAGTTTGAAGCTACACTATTATTATGTTGGGAAAGGTCAAAATGAGTCAAAATATTACTACAAAATAGAACTTAGTTTAGTCATAAAATGTTTTTATAGTTAATGTAATAACTACTGGACAGTATAAATTATTTTAGTTGTTGGTTTCTGATCAATTTCGGATCACAAAGTTATGGGGCTAATTTGAGAACTTGTGAAATCTACTAGGCCTCTACGAGGCAAATGACCATTGCGATAATTACCAGCCGAGTTTAGGCCTAGGTCTAGGCTGACTTGTTCCCAGGGTCGGGCGTTTGCTTTCTGCATGTTAGCCCGGAGTGGGGAATTTAACTAATTTATAACGGAGGTTTAGATAATAGAACGAGTACAAGAACGAGTTCAATTTTCGAGAAGTGGACTGGGACCAACTTGAACTCGTACTTATCAGCATCCTCGTTCCCAGGGCTTCTCGGCTGCCTGCGTTGCCATAAGCCCTGGGACAAGCCAAACCGGAACACCACAAATTCTGGTGTTTTCCGGAAGTAAACGCGCTCTGCTGCAAGCTAAAACTGCTGACTATGCACTAATTTTTACTGAGGAGTGGAGACGTGTTGGTGAGCAGAAAATATTGGATTTTTCTTTTGTTTCGATGTATTTTCCACCATCAAGGAAATATATACAGACCACCTAATGGAATTATACATATTGGGGGTTTATATTTCGTTATATCGTTAATATTCGTCAAAACACAACCATATTTCGGTCTCGTATTACATGTATCAATTTTCATGTATGATGTAAACATGATCGAGTCGAAATGTGCTCGAAGTGGCCGCTGTGATTCGAAACATCATGGGTCCTTGTACAGATGACCTGTTTCAACACGCGCTTGTAAAGTCACTTCAAAGACTGGACAAAGCCGGACTGGAAATTAAAGAGAAGTAATTCGAAGCTTTATCGTCTATCGTATGTATATAAAAGGAACAAGAATGACATGTGACATACTGACATGTCTAAACGGCGGTGTGTGTCTGTTTACTGGGTTACAACAACGGCAACAACAATGAATCACCTAACATTTCAAGAAAATATAAAATTATAGATAGATGTAGTGCATGACCCCATGAGTTTTGGATTTGAATTGCTAGATTTAAATCTATATTATGTATACAAAATAATGCGTGCGTAAATCTGAGCAAAAAAGCACAAGGTGTTTGTTTGGCCATATGGCCCATCATGTAGTATGAATATTGAACACCGTTTTATATAGCACGTTTAAAACGTTATTTCCATGATAATCCTGAATCCTTCACCGATTACATGCGTGGCAAATGACGAAAAATAATTATGTAAAATAATTAACCTAATATGTCTTTGGCCATGAATGCAACTCACTATGCTGAACTAGTTTATACATCTGATCTGACAGTCAAAACTATGTGCATGACTGTATGGCCCAATGTATGTTAATTGTTTCAGGGAAATTTTTGTGTTCAGATTAAAGTATAACAATATTTTCTGCATTCCTATATATTTTCTACATGCAAGTGCACATAATTTCTGTTCCAGATAGGGGCCAAATCATTTGAGGCCAAATGGGATAGCCAATGATTGGAGGGTAGTGTTAGCAAATTTGACTCTCTTACATAATGTCAAGTTATCACTGGTCAATTTTTAAATTTCTTACAATTTCACATCATGGAGTTCATTGCCCCCCCCCCCATTATCCAGAAGTGTGACTAAGCGTTTTCTAGTATCTATCCAGGTGTCCAATTTAAATCTCCACCACAACAGGATGTATACCTGAGTGATGGTAAGGGAGGTGGGGTTAAAATTCTGATTTATCAATATATTACTACACATTTCCACATTAAAAATATGAAAAGTTTTCAAGTTCAATGTGTCTATAGCAGGAGGCTTAAACCAGAATTTCAGAATACAAAGCAACTTTTATGTCATTTTTGTAATGGTTTGTTTAAAATCAATTTTTATACAGACATGGTAGGGTGTCTCCTGGCTAGAAGCCTGCATACACATATACAAATTTTCAGTTTTGTCAATAATAATAGTTTATTTTATAATTTCAATTCTTACAAGATTTGCAATAAGTCAACAGAATAAGCATTCTATTCTGAACTGTTGACAGGAAACAGTGTAAATTCATGATCTCTTCCAATATGACACAAGAATTCGAGACCCCCACCTCAGGCATACCAGGGGCATTCACTTAATTTGGTGTGTGAAATTCAGTGAAGTCCCCTGCAGCCAGAACAAAATGTCAAGGTAAATTTCTTCAGTCCTATCATCCCCAGGTATTCAATTGGAATTTTTACTTGAAATTTCCCAAACCATTCCTTTACTGTTCTGTAAAAGCCTTTCCTAGCCGACTGCTTTATTTCAGCATTTATATAAAAGACTAAACCTTTCCTAGCCGATTGCTTTATTTCAGCATTTATATAGCCGACTGCTTTATTTCAACATTTATATAAAAGACTATAAGTGACTCCCTCCCCCACGACCTCATTCATTCCTCGACTTTGACACTGAAAGTAAGTGAATAAGAGGTGATTGTCCTTGCATTCCCCTCTGGTATGCCAAAGGTGCAGGGATTCAAATGACTGGTGCAATTGAATATGCTTAATATAAGCTTATTCACTGTATTTAATTAAAAGCTATTAAAATTACTCACTAATAATACAACTGAGAAAATTCAGAAATAGTAAAATACACCTATAATATTCTATATGCTATATTTAAAAATTCCAATTGGCCATATTAATATAGTGCCATTTTAATATAGGACCATTTTAATATAGGCGGCCAAAAGGCGGGTAATAGGCCAAGTAACCAATACCAAAAGCATAATAATTTATAATAAAACACAATATATTACACCATTAAAACTTTACTATCGTAAATATATATTATTAAACATTTTACATTTGCAGGGTGCTTAACTTTCACCACTACCCAGCTAAATCGATCAGCACTGATCGATTGCAAGAAATTTAATATCTTCGGTTCAGTGCATGCTATGAAGACAGAAATACCACCATTCGATTCAAAAATATAAGATTCAACTAATTCCTCCCCATAGTATGAGGTGTGATATCCGCCAAAATTCATATATTCAATTATGCCATTGGAAATTGCATTTATCAGTTCAGTTATGCTATTATGATATTCGATATTATGATATTCGAATTTCATTCGGCGTGAAACAGTCATTATTGAAATTTCATTCGGCATGAAACAGTCATTGTTGAAATAGTCATTCGGCATGGCACTCAGAAACCAAAATTCGACTTCCGGTTCGGCATGGCACTCAGAAACCAAAATTCGATTTCCGGTTTAGCGGGAAAAGCACGCAGGAAATTGTAATTTCAACATGGCCGAAGGCGAAGGCAATCTAGGTCAACAACACAGAAATATAAGTGCTGTAGACGTATTGGAAACAAGTAGGCAAACTAGAATTGAGCTAACAAATATATTGGAGTCAGAGTCAATTTTGAGGCAACTACGATCAGAGAATGTTGACGAAAATGTACTTGATAGTGTGCAGTACCGCCTCGATTGGATTTTTAATACTGTAGCGAGGTACGCTGATTTGCAAATTGTTGACGAGAGGGTTGTAAACTGTATACGATTAGCAAAGGAATCCCTACAAAGAAACTCTGGGAACAACTCTTTCGGATTAAATGTTGTACAAAGGATCTTTACTGGAGAGAGGGGTAGACCACGACTACAAATACCTTTTGAACATCTAAGATATTTATTGGAGAGGAAATTCAAGCTGGCTGAAATTGCAAAGCTCTTTGGTACAAGTAAGCGTACAGTCGAAAGGCGCTTGGGTGACTTTGGCCTGTCTGCTAGAACTATTTATGCCCCTTTGTCTGATCAACAATTGGATGATTTGATAAATGACATCCAAAGAGATTTCCCAAATGTTGGGTGCAAGAGAATGACTGGTCTACTTCGAGCTAGAGGTGTTTACATGCAGCAGGCTCGAATCCGACAATCAATGCGAAGAGTCGATCCAGAAGAAACACTTCTTAGGGCACTTGAATTGAATATTATTCGTCGTAGACAATACAGTGTTGCTGGACCCCTATCTCTGTGGCATATTGATGGAAATCATAAATTAATTCGGTATGAGCTATAATTTTTGGGGATTAATTATGATATCTGTTATAATATGTTGGGTGAAATAAGTTTTAATAGTTTATAAGCACTAAAAAGTAACCATGCATAAATGAGTCTTGTGTTGTATCGTGTTTCATACAAAGCCGATTTTAAGTAGGTTTCCACAACTTTTTTAGCCATGTGTACAGTACCTGACAGTTATACCAAATATATATGGGTAAATTGTGAAAAAATACTTCAAATCCACTGTTTGAATTGCCTTTGTAGGCAAAAATGTTGAAACACTACCAGGAAAATTAAACAAACTGTTTTCTTTCTCATAGTTGGAGATTTGTTATCCATGGGGGTATAGATGGTTTCTCTCGCATGGTGGTATTTCTTGCCTGTTCCACTAATAATAGAGCATGCACCGTCCTTCAACATCTCAGATCAGCAGTGGAGAAATTCGGCCTTCCATCTCGTGTTCGGTCTGATAAAGGAGGTGAGAACACTGATGTTGCATGGTACATGTTGTCACACCCTTTAAGAGGCCCAGATAGAGGGAGTCATATTGCAGGCAAAAGTGTCCACAACCAACGAATAGAAAGACTGTGGAGAGATCTCTTCACTGGCTGTACTTACATTTTTTACAACCTTTTCTACCATATGGAAGACCAAGGTATTCTTGATCCTTCCAATGAACACCACATTGCAGCCTTACATTATGTGTTCCTTCCCATAATCAATCGACACTTGATGTTATTTATGGAAGGTCACAATCGAGGACCAATCAGCACAGAGCATAACCAATCTCCCGAACAACTTTGGCTCAGAGGCATGCTTTCAAATCCCAGCAGTAGAATTGCTGATGAATTCACCAATCAGGTATATACTTTATATTTTATGCGTACATAGACACTAATATGTATGTAATGTATATATATATATATATATATATATATATATATATATATATATATATATATATATATATATATATATATATATATATATATATATATATATATATATATATAAAATATAATTGTGATTTAGAACTTGAGTGACTATGGTGTTGACTGGGATAGCCCATACCCTAATGGTGAATTATCAGAAGACCAAGAAGTTGTGGTGCCTGAAACTAATTCACCGCTGAATGAAATTGAGAGATTGAATCTGCAGGGATTGATTGATCCTTTACGTGACTCCGAACATCATGGTGTGGATATCTATACGGACGTTCTGGCTTTTTTCGAAGACTGTTTGCAAAATACAGCACACATTAGTTAATGCATATAATTAAATTGTATAATGAACTTGATGCTGTAATAATATAATTATTAAAGTATACAGTACATGTACAGCATTATAAATTAAGTGCTAATAGCAGTTTATATTGGTATTATAAACTTGGGTGCAAGAATGGACCCAGCTAAAACCTGACAGAAACCACTACAGTATCTAAACTATAGTACTACAGTATACTATATTATTTAACGAAACATTAGGTAATACCAAAAACAGAAGTATAATATGAACACACATATTTGTCGTTCTCCAAGAACTACTCCTTTAAACTATACCAAATCCCTCTTTTTGTATATCAATAGCAGAATCCATGTTTTTTTTAAATTCACCGTACGTGTTCACTTGACCTGGAAGCTCCAACTCCAAAGGGCATGTATTTGCATTTGGATAGACAGAATCATTTTGTAATATGGTTATTGCATTTCTAAATCCCATAGGCGGAATTGTCTTGCATCCAGTGACGAACATCAATAATCCAGACAGCCTGCTTGCTAAAATAAAACAAAATATTATCCAGTGGAAAACACTTAATAATATACTGTGCCTTGAAAATTGTGCCGTGTACTGTCAGGCATAATTTTTCATTCATAAGCTGGGGACATTTTCATCATCCAGATATAGATACAGCCATATGGCTCGAGGGCTCATTTAGCCTTGGTCAATGTTTGGGATGTCACTATTGACCAAGTGCATAATCAGAGTGAACTATGCGCAGCAGGGTTCTGGAAATTCAGTGGCCTAGCTACTGGCAAGGGTGGTGGGATAACACACATGGGCGACGGAAGCAATTGACATATATACCTGGACTATTTCCTATTATACGTTTTTTGCTGAAGGCTTGTGTGGCAAATTGAAGCTGAAAAATGCTGCCGAATACGAGTCAAAATAGCACTGCTGGCCAACATAGCAAAATACTTTCAGCTGGGGTGTATATTTCTTCTATAATCCCCCCCCCCCCTGGGAGGGTGGAAGGAATCGAAGTGTCTTAGGACTAGTGAAGAAATTAAAAGAGTAAAAAAAAAAGAAAGGAAGGGAAAGGAAAGAGGGAAAAGAACAAAGGGAAAAGAATGGAAAGGGGAAAAGAATGGAAAGGGCAAACGGAAAATAAGGGGGGAAAGGAAAAGAAGATAAAGAACAAGGGATGAGAATGAAAAGAACTGAGAAAACTTGGGAATCAGTCTCATATTATGTCAGCAAGGAGGGTAGATGAAGTATGACTTTTTTATGGCAAGAGGAAGGGGAATTGGAATATAATGTCAATGTCTAAATAAAATTTTAAAAACGTGAATATATATTGTTTGTGAAACTAAAAACGTTTGTTGAAAGATGAACGTAATTTAGAGAGATGAATACTTTTTAAGGGCAACATCTCTAGTTAATATATCAATAATCAATTATTTTGTTGTGCTGTTTATCATTGAGATCCAGAAGTTCTAAATGAACTGAAAAATTTGTTGTCAAAATCGGCATTGTAACATCATTTTTCTACCTTGAACCAAACTTTTTATCGAAAATAATTCGTTAAATCAAAGGAAAATTACTGGAATATTGAAGGTAGAGAGAGCCCAGACTCTGCTGCCACGTCCAAATTTCTTCAACATACAGGGAAGAAAATCAAAGCTGAAAAGAGGGGGGGGGGGGATTCAAAGGTCATTGAAGAATATACACCCCTGACTTTCAGCTCTGAATACTGGTCAGTGGTTGACTCCATGAGAAATTTCCCTAACATTTCTGCCATATTGCGACCACACTTTCAGAGCCCGAGCGAGCAGTCTAGGTATACATATATGTCAACGGTGTACACCTCCCAGTAACACAGTAAATCCATCCCTGTTCCCTTTGCTAATAATTAAATAGAATAAAATAACAAAGATTAGGGTGTATTAGTATGCAATGGCACTTAATGGGGTATCCATTTCAACAAAAAAACAATGCCACGAATAATAATTTTAAGAAAAACATAAGCTTGCTTACATTCTGTGCAAACATACTGCTTGAAGAAATCCTTTCGAACTTCATCAACTTCTTCATATTCCACTAGGGATAGCAGATCCTCTGCAGATGGAGGTTTTGCTTGGCCTGCTACAAGGAGAGGTTCAGTTTGATCGGGATGTTTGCGTATTAGGTTTATGAGAGGACCCAGTCCTGACATAAATTGATCTAACTCAGCCTTCCGTGATAATAACACTGAGTGAAGGCATAAGGATGCCATTGCCTGAAAACGGTTCTCGAAGGTGAGGAGATAGGGAAACCCAGCTTCCACCAAGAGTGACTGTATTTCACCAGCAAAAGTGGAAACATCTTCTTGTTTGATATTGTCCAACTAGATTTAGAAAGCATCCCAGATGAGTCTGATAAAATTATAGTACTATTGGGTCTTACTATTAATATTTTGTACAATGTGCATCCTTTTGGAATTTAAATAAAATTATTTGCAATCTCACCTTATTGAGTGCTTCAACAACATACATGTCTACTACATCTTCTTTGCTGATGTGTTCACTTAGATCATCAGAATTTGGGTTCTGAAAATATAAATAGATTGCCCTGGAGAATACAGGAAAACCTGGTCCACCATGAAATACTGAAGCAGCCACAATTCGTCCGGCAACTTTGAACAAATTAGATCGCACAGCATCTGTGTTGTGAATCGGGAGAAAGCGCGAGTTTCTTCCTTCAAACAGGCGGATACTTGATGATGACGATAACAGTTCTCTTGTAAGAATAGTAAAAAACTCCCTCACTGGCCCTCCTCCATCAATGGCTGGTTCTCCTGCAAAAGTAATTTTTATCGGCACAGTAAAGTCAAATTTTCTCTGTTTGAAGAAGGCAATACTATCTTCAAAGATAGAATCTCTGCAGACTGTCAAGCGTTGTGGAGCGCCTGAAATGGGGCGTAACTTCTTGAGAAGATCAACAAGGCTATCGTCAGTATTCATTTGAACATCCAATTGATCAGATTCACCTTGAAAAATAAATATTTATTTTTTATTAACCATTGATGCATAAGATTCTCTTTCCCCTTGATAAATAAAACTTAATATTAATGGCATAAATACAAGAGACATATCGCCATGCAGATAGTTTGATTAACCGGCATTAATGTGGAACATGAATACAGGTTAACCAAACACAAAATTTATCTTGCTATTTAGTTGAGCATAATTGTCAGACTGGCATTAGTAAATACTAAAATAGGTCGCAATGGGTTAAATTAGAAAAGGAATATTATCAGCATTCATTGCGTTTGTACTGTATAGAACTTCTCACCGTTTCAAGCAAATGCATTTCTCTTCTTTAGAGAGTAATGAACAATATGTTATGACAATGAACAATATGTTGACAATTGTTTTTTTATCTCATTTGACATCTACTGTACATACTTATACATTGAAAAAAAAATATGCACAATACTAACCATCTTCATCTAAAAGGAGCTCAACTGCTTGTTCAACGTTGCCATTGTATAAGTTCAGCGCTGTTGAAATCTCCGTTTCTGACAATGCTGGTAGAATATTTTGGATACTAACAACATCTGTTCAGCATAAACATAAAGGAATGCATAAAATTAAAATTTTCATTGATGGAATTTATATGCAATAAACACACAAACTAGTCAAACAAACTTACCAGACTCAGAATGTGAATCAGCGTGACTGGCTGATGAAATTGTCACGAGGTTGTTAGTATCAGCAGAAGTGTGCCTAAATTGACATAAAGCTGGCTGTCAACCTCAGTTACTGTAATAGAATTATTATGCTGATATATTATAGCCATAAGAATGTTTCTCAAGGACTACTATTTCCATTCCAAAGAATATGATTAATTAGCACAATTAATTCCCCCTTATATATTACTAAGTAATAATAATAAATTAATTGGAAAATGGAAGGAACAATGGAACATGCAAGATGTGTGAACAAGAGAACACAGTGAAATATCTACGCATGGAAATCATTGGAGAACGTATCAAGTGAACACAGGAACAAAGCAAATCTTCATCTTTAAGCTACAGTAAATGGCAATTAATTTCATTCATACACAGTATATACCTGTATAATAAGTTAATAACATTCTATATCCAGTAGGCAATTTGTGTACAAAGATTTACCTTGTTGTCACAATACCAGAACATCCTCCCCGACAAATGCTACTATGCTCAATTGTCTGCTCAGCAGGAATAGTGTCATTGCAATCATCACATACTACCGTGCCAAGATGACATGCTTGTTCCTAAAATATAAATGAGTTCCTACTGTACATATACTACCTACCATTTATCTGGCAACTTTTTATATTATATTCTAACACTCAACATGTGTTACTATTTAAATGATGAACATCCATTGCTAGACACCTACTTGACCATTGAAGCAAATAGCAGTATCTGATACAGAATCCTCAACAGAATCCTTGTCACCTTCTACAGCCAATGTAATTTCCAACCTATTTGAACAACACAAGAGAGTAGAATTGTTGTATTACTAACTTCATAAGGTATATACTGTGGTATAGGTATGTCAGTAGTTAAATTATGAATTACGACTACAGGCTCCAGTTCACCAATAGACTAATACAGTACACTGCAGCACAGGCTAGATTGCCAATTGCAACCAGATATTTGCCAAAAGTATAGAACAGTATTCCTTCTTGCAACTGAGACACAAAATAAAATGGTTAACAAATTCTAAAGTATTACAATATATCAATACATTATGGGGATCTAAACTATATATCGAGATTCTATATGTTCCCAAATTTTCTGGGTCAGCCTCTGTGTGAGATGCACAATAATGGGGTAAGGGGTAACAATTTATTCATTATTATTGCTATTATTAGTATTACTTTTGCAACTGGAGAAGTTTAATTAAATATGTACAACAACAATGGGAAATCTGGACCAATGCTGTCAGTTATAATACTTACAGCTCTTCATCTCGACAACAACTCTCCTTATGTTGCCTGATTTCTGTAACTGGGATTTCCACTTTGCAATTAATGCATTCCACTAAAGGAGCAGAATCAGTGTCCTAAAAAAAATTACACAATTTTCATATGTAAATATGTTACACAAATATGATGCATATGTTAACAAACGGAGGTCGGGTGGGTATGAGTATAATCACAACCATGGATTCTGGTTTGATTATTTTTGTACACTAACAATGCCTTGATGACTCACCTCAGAACTATCCATGGCAGGTGTGATGTCCAGGTTATTTTGAATTGGTCGGATGAATGCGATGGCTTGGCCCAACCCAGCTGTGTCCCGCAGAAATGATACACTGTAACCACTACGTGGTGGCTGTATAAACACCAAGTCACTGGTTTGTACTCCACGCCTCAGAATGTCAAATCCTCCACTGTGACTTAATTTGGGGTAAACTTGTTCCAATTTTGCCTTTACCTCTACAGCAGTAGCTTTCCAGTTGAAGCATATCTTTTCTCGCCCTAAGCCGGCTTGTTGTAGCTTTGCCTTAAGGGTTACGGTAGGGGTCACGCATTGTTCGCGATTTGCCAAGCAAAAGAATACATGTGTCCATGTTTCACGCCTGAATGCAACAGCACTCTGAGTCTTCCTTCGCTTACCCGATGGTTGGGCTAACTGGGTTGAGGAACTTAGACTTCGGCGACCCGTATTCCCATATGGCGCAAAAAGATTTCTAAAATTCCCCAACACTCTTTCTCGATTTGATGTATTGACGGGTCTGACGGTAGTGACGCCAGATGATGTAGTAGCATGCGATTCGCTTTGAGATATTACATTTGGACTCGCAACTTGTGCTGAAGAAACATCATTTGATGATCCAGGCCATTCTCTGATCAATCTTGTCGCCTCTTGCAACAAAGAAACAGCACGCTGTTGACCTAGATTGCCTTCGCCTTCGGCCATGTTGAAATTACAATTTCCTGCGTGCTTTTCCCGCTAAACCGGAAATCGAATTTTGGTTTCTGAGTGCCATGCCGAACCGGAAGTCGAATTTTGGTTTCTGAGTGCCATGCCGAATGACTATTTCAACAATGACTGTTTCATGCCGAATGAAATTTCAATAATGACTGTTTCATGCCGAATGAAATTTCAATAATGACTGTTTCACGCCGAATGAAATTCGAATATCATAATATCGAATATCATAATAGCATAACTGAACTGATAAATGCAATTTCCAATGGCATAATTGAATATATGAATTTTGGCGGATATCACACCTCATATTTAAACAGCGTCAAAAATCTCAAAACAAAATCGCTCGGCAGCAGTTTAACCATACGAAGGTGACATAAAAATGATTTTCTTGAACACGACTTGGGCGCTAGGAGAGATACCCGATCGGAATAAATATGCCTCCGAAACATTAGTATATGAATGCTTAATTGATCAAGAGGTGGGCAAACAGTATAGATGAGCTCTCAGATTGCAATGATTTTGAGTTAAATATTTTCACCCTGTATATCCCAGTAAAAACTAAAGCCATTGTTAGGGCATTGTATGCGGACTATATGCAAATTATAGTATACAAGCATGCAGTGGGCATTTTGTCGCCAATTTCTGGTACTGAACAACTAGCGACTGCTATGCAGGCTACCTCAATACCAATGTACTATTACTTACTAATCGTCAGTAATAGGGCCTACACATTTACTGAAATGTGTATACATATACAAATAAATGTATTATACAATTACTTTATGGTTCCGTGTTTGGATGGCCTGATCCAAACACGGGTTTCGACCAATCAGAGCACGCGTTATATACATGTTATTTTATAAATATATATTTACACTCGATGGTGATGTACTCAGGTGAATAAGATGCTTGTGATGTTGCTCTGAGTGTGTATCCATACTGGGCAGGCTTGAAAAATATGCCTGGCCACGGTGGGAATCGAACCTACGACCTTTGGAAGACTAGCCCAATGCTCTGCCAACTGAGATACACGCGGTCAGGTCGGTTCGAGTATGTGATATTTCGGAACTGAGTCTGGTTCCTACGATATCAAATTATCAATGCAATCTAGTAATCATGATTTTTGTCAGTGTTGGTGTTATGTACTCCAACATGAACCAGTCTGTCGTTCTCGGTAGAACGTAAACTTTGGAAGTCAATTATCGCAAATTTTGGTCTTCGGAGCAAGCGCCTTCCACCCCCTCTGCCGAAAGTCACATGCGCCCCGGTTTCCTCCCACACAGTTGGGTTAGGATAAACATAGTTAAGAAAGTTGAATATTGCAATTGTTGTAAAGATAAATAGTCTAGGCTAAGTTGGTGATATAAGTAATAAATTGTATTGTGAAACTCATTAACAATTCATGAAGAAAACACAAGAGAAATTATAACCGTGAAAGAGTTTATATTATATAATACCTTATTGAATTCTGATCGTTTAATTGGCTGTTTATGGTCACGTGATATTGAATAGAAAATTCCATTTCCCAAGAGTGCAATGGAATACGTTCCATTGCACTCTTGCGAGTGCAATTGTACTATACGTTTTATTCCATTGCACTCTTTGTGTTTTCGATAAATCTCATCCGTCAAAATGCTTCTCGTACGGTGATCGCAGTTTATTTTAACCCGATATTCGAAACTCAGTAAATGGGATTTAATGCAAATACGACTCGTCATAATGGCGGGAGCTTACAGAAAACATTTTAATATTAGTCTATTTTGGTATTATATAAAACAAATAATGAATGTTTTTATTCGTGCAATGGTAAGAATATTTTCATTCGGTGAAAGATGGAATGTTCCATTCAACTCTGCTGTCGCCTCGTTGAATGGAACATTCCATCTTTCACCTCATGAAAATATTCTAACCATTGCACGAATAAAAACATTCATTATTTGTATACTGTATACTAGTATATGCCAGGCTGATACCAAAGTCTTTCGAGACATGGTCTGGGAACTCGGTAAACTTCAAAGCGGTTATAACTAGTGATGAGGTGGGATTCTATGCACGCCGTGCACATCCTTTGTTTTAGGTTTATTAACATTTAAATAGGAAGGAGATTTACAGAGTTCTAAAAGTAACAAATTGTCATAAAATATCTCAAACTGTTTTGTCTACACGCGTAACTGAAATAATATCAATTTAGCCTATCCCCCGCCAACATTTAGGCCCCGCACAACAACCGTGCACCGTGCACAAAACTGCATAAACGCGAACAAAAAGATGGAAGTTTCCAAACCATGTTTTGAAAGACTATGCTGATACAAAATCATAGGGATTTACATAAACTTTATTTAAATTTTATCACCAAATATCATTCATTTCTTTTTAATTAATTGTTAATTGAAGAATGTACATATTCTTATCAAGACGTTCAGCCATTCATAACATTCGCGTCCGATATATCGCGGCCGCTCATGTTGTGAATAGTACATATAATACTATAATAATAATAATAATAATAATAATAATATATTTTTTTTTTTTTTTTGTAAAAATAATAATAATAATAATAATGGAAACTTTTTATTAGATTTTTTGTGAATCAATATCGTGCACGCTTTTTCCATTCTGATGGAACAATACCAGATGACCAGGCAACATGGAAATTTCAGTTAAATAAGTACGTAGATATGGGCAGCGTTTAAGACAGATAACAGATATTTGGTCGAGAGGGCACGGTGAGCCGGCATACTTCGAAACCCGGACCGGACTTGGACTCGGACCCGGACTCGGACTCTAAGAAAATCCGGACTCGAGAAAAACCCGGACCCGGACTCGAATAAAATCCGGACTCGTGTTTAAGAAAACCCGGACTTGACTTTTGAAAACCCGGACTCGAAATAGAAAAAACCGGATTCAAAACAAGGACTCTGTGTACGAGAATGTAAAGGTTTTTTGGAAAGGTTTAATAATAGTCAACATGATGAACGATGATCTCTTTATAACAATAATGATGTATATATCTTTAAATAAATTTCTAGAGTGCTGTTGCACTATCTGGCGTAGTGCTGATAAAGAATCTGAGTTGCTCGGTAATAATTGCGGGTGTCCCTATCTCCAGTTCCCGCTTTCTATATATAGATATAGATATAGATAGAATACTTTATTTCAAAAGCAATAAGCTTGGTTTTGAAACATGTAGATCATTTTTTCTTCTAGTGACTTAGTGTTATGTGTTATGTGAGGATACTAATCAGTAATAATACTATGATTCCTCCGAAAAAATCACTATATAGTATACCTGAAAAAAATTATTTAGACACTTAAACAGCTAAATCTACCCTAGACCTAAATTAATAACTAAAATCTGTCTCAGCAGTCAAGAATGTCTTGTCTGGAAACCATCTCGTTATACAAGTGCTGCAACCATAGCAAACAACGTGTGAGACTCAATACTGAGTATTTCTGACAATGAAGTTTGACAATAAATCAAGTTATTTTGAGAATCAACATGCTACCCTCGTACTAGCTGTCTTGTAGACGTATGCATAAATGAGCCGCGGTTATATGCAAGGCACTTCGGGCAATTGATGAACGCATTGCCTAACGAGAGTCTCAATATCACTGAATTTCGGCCAATTCACCCAACGCGAATTTCACTGTCGGTATTATTAGGCCGTGGGTGCTGCGACACCTTTTTTTGTTTCCACTTTAAGATTGCTTTCATTGTGATGTGTTTTCTACTATTTTTGATTAGGAATAATTGTGGGTGTTCAATTCGTGTTTGTGAACTTTATCTTAACAAAATTGAGAAAATAAACGTGTTTACAGCAGCGTCTTGCCCAAATATTTGAGAGCACTTTATAATATCAAATTGCCGCGACACCTTCACTGCCTTCAGCATGTGATGTGCTTTTCCGTTAGTTACTTTGCTAAAACGGAAATAATTTTTATTGAGTTTGTTTTTTGGCAATATATATATACTGTATATATATATTCGGAACTTTGAAAGCTATCATTGGATTTGCTACCATTGAAACGATGGCCTAAGCCACAAAACACGTTCGAGTTATTTTTCGTGTCATTTTGACAAATTTTTAGAAAGTGTGCTGTCAATTGTCATTGATACATGTGTTGGGGTATATTTTACCCTTGCCGCCAACACGTTGTCTGCTATGGTTGCAGCAATCATGTATCGAGATGGTTTCCAGACAAGACATTCTTGACTGCTGAGACAGATTTTCAGTAGTTATTAATTTAGGTTTGGGGTAGATTCAGCTACTCGCGCAAGTATGCATAAATGCATTTTGGTGTTCAAGTGCCTAAATGATTTGTTCCGCCAGGTATATACTATATAGCCGTGATTATTTTGTGAGGAATCATAGTATGATTACTGATTAGTATCCTCACATAACACATAACACTGAGTCACTAGAAAAGAAAGTGATCTACACCTTTCGAAACCAAGCTTATTGCTTTTCAAATAAAGTATTCTATCTATATCTATATATAGAAAGCGGGAAGGGATATAGGGACACCCGCGCGAGAGAACAAATCCGCAAATTTAATATTACCGATGCAACTCAGATTCTTTATCAGCACTACGGCAGTTTGTGCAACAGCACTCTAGAAATTTATTTAAAGATATATACCGGATTATTGTTATAAAGAGATCATCGTTTATCATGTTAACTATTATTAAACCTTTCCAAAAAACCTTTACATTCTCGTACACAGAGTCCTTGTTTTGAATCCGTTTTTTTCTATTTCGAGTCCGGGTTTTCAAAAGTCAAGTCCGGGTTTTCTTAAACACGAGTCCGGATTTTATTCGAGTCCGGGTCCGGGTTTTTCTCGAGTCCGGATTTTCTTAGAGTCCGAGTCCGGGTTTCGAAGTATGCCCGGTGAGCCAGACGGTTTCATCTTTCGAATGACATTTGTAATCTCATTATAGGTCGAAGGGTCAAGATTAAATGGTGTTGTTGGGGAATTAAACTTGGGAATCCAGCTAGGAATGTTGAATGTTTTATTTGGAATAACTGTGGAAAGTGTCTTAGTAAAGTAAGCTGTACATTGGGCACGACCAAATGTTGGAAACGATTCTGTTTTTTTCTTGAGAAATTTTTTAACGTAACCCCAGAAATTATTATTGAATAACTTGTCGTGATCAATGTTATCTGACACGTTGACATCAGCATGTTGTAGGTCGGTGTTATTTTTGCTAAGAAGGCAACGCAGCTTTTTAGCAACAAATTTGATTTCTTTCAGATCACCGTTTTCGCACTTTAATTTTTTTAATACTTTTTTAAGCTCCTTAGCCGAACATGACTTATACTTTGATTCAAATTCGTTGTTATTGTTGGCGTCAACAAATCCATAATTATCACTGAAGAAATTGTATATCACTGTTGCCATGGTATTGATACTTTTATTGATTTCTTGGGTTGTGACTGGGTAATTTGAAAGAGTGAGTTGAAAAAAGTCGTTAGCAGTAAACCATTGTAATGGCGATTTTGGCAATTTTATTCCTTTCTTTAAATCAGGAAAGATTTCTTGGGCGTTCATCCTCTGCTGATTGAACATTGTCATCGCATATTTGTTCATTTAAAGCATCAGTCATTTGTTGTTGTAATTCCTCCTCCATGTCATCAATTACTTTACAGCTACGTTGATGCATCTTTAAACCACGAGCGCCTTTACACACTTTACCGCAACAACATTTGACAACTTTATATGAACTGGCTGGTAAACATTCTTGAGTACGAATTTCAACGGCAGGAACTTTATTTTGCTGTGATGTTTGGTCAAACTCAACCTTATTTTTACAGCGCCATGTATGACGGCCCAGTGAAGCAAAGTCCTTTCCACAAAATCCACATATAACCAGAGTTGAAAACAAGGCAAGCAAGCTTGCACGAATCATTCTTAAATAATTATATTAATAGGACAATCGTA